ATCAATGCAAATAGAGCTGGAAGGGACCTCGGAGGTCTTCTAGTCCAGCCCTGCTTAAACAGGAGACGCTAGACCATTTCAATCAATCAATCAATCAATGCGAATAGAGCCGGAAGGGACCTCGGAGGTCTTCTAGTCCAACCCTGCTTAAACAGGAGACCCTAGACCATTTCAATCAATCAATCAATGCGAATAGAGCTGGAAGGGACCTCGGAGGTCTTCTAGTCCAGCCCTGCTTAAACAGGAGACCCTAGACCATTTCAATCAATCAATCAATGCGAAGAGAGCCGGAAGGGACCTTGGAGGTCTTCTAGTCCAGCCCTGCTTAAACAGGAGACCCTAGACCATTTCAATCAATCAATCAATGCGAATAGAACTGGAAGGGACCTCGGAGGTCTTCTAGTCCAACCCTGCTTAAACAGGAGACCCCAGACCATTTCAATCAATCAATCAATGCAAATAGAGCTGGAAGGGACCTCGGAGGTCTTCTAGTCCAACCCTGCTTAAACAGGAGACCCTAGACCATTTCAATCAATCAGCCAATCCATCAAGAGTAGGGAGAGGAACCCTACCTTTCTTTGGGTGGCCTGCCCTCGTGAATCTTCTGGGCTTCCACCTCCTGGTTCTGAAGCCTCGTGGCGATCCGGCGGTCATTCTGGACCATCTGGTTCTTCTGGACATTGGAAGCGTAGTGCAGTTCAACTGAGGGAGAGAGAAGAGGCAGAAGGAAGCCGGAGGATGAGCGGGGCAATGGGTCAGGTGTGGGTCCCGTCAGGTCAGGGCAGGGTGGGGTTCAAATGTCTTAACCACCAGTTCTGTGGGCGTGGCCTAATTTGTGGGTGTGGCTTGGTGGTCACGTGACTGGGTGGGCCTGGCTTGCAGGTAAATATTGTAAATATTTATGTAAATATTGAATTTTTTATTTAAAAAAAAAAAAAGAGAGAGAGCAACTTTTACCCAAAATCAGGCAGAGCAGGCAGGCAGATTGAGTTTCCGCTGGGCAAATATCTAAGTGGAGAACATGATTGATGACTCTGGGCTATGGAGGGGTCTCGTTGGAGAATATGATTTATGACTCATGCAGGGGTGTGGGGGGGAAACCAGGGTCAAGAGTGATGATTAATAATACGTCTCGGAGTCGGCTGCACCCAGGCAGTGTCAGACATGTTAACTCCCAATAAATCCTTTGGAAGTTTTGGAAGGTTGGCTCGAGGCTCAGGATTTAATTGGGGGGTCACTGCCCGGAATCCTGACAGACAAAATCCTGAACTCCCAAGCCATTAATCCCCAGCCAGACAGTCGAGGGGTGGAATGGGGGGGGGGGGCGGGGAGAAAAAGGGGGACTCAGAACTTGGACCGCTCTGGATGCTGTCATGCAAAGAGCGTTTTGACGTCACGGAAATGATTCACCAGCACAAAAGGATGCCAGGTGAGCAAGGCGAAGGACAGTCCTTGCCACCCGCTGCCAAGAGAGAAGGAGTGGGGGGAGCAACCTTGAGAGAGAGCGGGCCCTTAAAAGGCCATCTCATCTGGCAAGCCGCCCCCCCTTGTAAACCTGTCTGCACGCTGGATTCCCTGGAGCGATGCGACTCCATCTCGTTAATTGGAAAGGTGGACGGTGCCAGAGATGCACACACAGAAGACCCAAACACACACGCGCGCGCGCACACACACACACACACACAGAGGGGGAAAAAACCATGCAGCCGGGACGGGACAGGCCACCGATGGGGAAGGAGGGGTGGTCAGAAGATTTGGAGGGAGGGAGGGAGGCTAAATGCTGGAAGGACACACGGACCATGGAAGAGGGACAGCTTGCCAACTTGCCACAGGAGCCACATCACTGCGGGATCCAGTTCAGCCGTTCGGTTTAATTATTACGAAACCGTTTAAAAAAAAAAGTTATTTTAATTTTTGTTGCTCATTTTTTTGTTCCTCCTTCCTTCAGAATCCTCCTCCAGGAGTTGTGAATGCTCCAACCCTGGAAGTTTTTAAAGCAGGGGTGGAAAATTATCAAGGCGAGAAGCAACCTGGGATTAAGCTTGAGCTGGGGGGTTGGACTAGATGACCTCCAGGGTCCTTCCCTTCCAATTCTGTTATTCTCTATTCTTCCTAGCAGACGGAACAATTAAACAGTGGAAGGATTTACCTCCAGAAGTTGTGAATGCTCCAACACCGGAAGTTTTTAAAGAAGAGATTGGACCTCCATGGGTCTGAAATGATATCGAGTTTCCTGCTGGAGCAGGGGGTTGGACTAGAAGACCTCCGAGGACCCTTTCAGCCCTAGGATTCTATTAGAATCAGTGGAATGGCTTTCCTCCAGAAGTTGAGCATATTCTAACAGTTTTTAAAGAAGGGATTGGATCTCCATCTGTCTGAAATGGTGTAGGGTTTCCTGCCTGAGCAGAGGGTTGGACTAGATGACCCCTAAGCTCCCTTCCACCTCTGTTATTCTAATTCTATCCTTTCTTTAATGATTCTATTCCACAATTACTTTTAGATATGAGTGTAATTCTTGTCCTGTGGCGAGTTGGCATAGATCTCCCTCACAATTTGTCCCCATTTATCTGTCCCCACTTATCTATATTTCCTCCTTTTGTTCTTGTTTACGTTAGTACTTATACTTGTTCTCTTGTACATGTTTGACAAACAAACAAACCAAATAAATAAATACATTTCAGAGATCTGCCAAATCCCCGTCCTTACTCTCTTGTTCTTGTAGACAATAGGCCAACGCACCATCTTCTAGGACAGCGAAATCTCGGCAAACTGCAGGAAAAAAGAAAAACGAAACATAGAAACATGGCCAAGCGTGAATTGACAACTAAAAGGGACAACTTTTTGAATTATTAGAATAAGGATGAAATTTGTTGAATAATGAATGGAATAACAGTATGTGACAAAATTGCAAATGTGACAGATTAAAAAGCAATATGTGTAATGGATATAGCAATGAAATAAGAATCTTAGATAATATTGTAAAATAAGATGGGAGAACATTTTAAGAAAAATGAAATAGGTTAAGATAGAAACTGGAATTGGATAAAACAAGTGTAACGGATATTTGAGAATATTCAAAGGAAAATAGAATAAGTAATAATGTGATATGAAAGAGAGAGACGAGACCGAATACTTTAAAGTTTGGGAAAAATGGTATGACTGGATGGAACAAAGATACTTAAATGGCTGATGAATTAAGGATAAGCAATATATAAATTAAATATTTATATTCGCACAAACTGTATATATTTGTAAATAAGGCACAAAATAGTAGTGTAAGAAGAAAGTCACAAAATGTCGAATTTAAGATACTTTTACCTTTTGCTTGTTTTTTTGTTCTTTAAAGTATAAAAGATCAATAAAGTTTATTTTTAAAAAAGTCCTTCCTCATAAACACTGGAGGCTTTCAAGAAGAGACTGGACCGCCATCTGTCAGAAACGGTGTAGAGTCTCCTGCTTGGGTGAGGGGTTGGACTAGATGACCTACAAGCTCCCTTCCAACTCTGTTAATCTAAAAGTGATCTAAAGTGATATATTTTTCTGCATCCTTCCTCATATAGAAAATAGAGAAGGAGAGAAGAGAGGAAAGGAGAGAGGAGAGGAGAGAAGAAAAGAAAAGAAAAGAAAAGAAAAGAAACAAAAAGAAAGATAGGACAGGAGGGGAGAGGAGAAGAAAGAGAGGAGAGGAGAGAGCCAGAATAATCTCCAACAATTTGGAATTTTGGAGCCTGGACAAATTCCCTCCTCCAAAGAATGTGTGTGAAGGAGAAGCATCAAAGCTCTAAGTTTGGAAAGACAACTCCAGACATGTTTGAGATTTCCCAACAGGAACTTACATTTTGAGAACTTGTTGGAGCAGATAAAAACGCTCGTATTTTATAATTATATATATAAAATTGCCTATGGCATTCAGAGACCTACCGTCTCTTCCGGCTAGAAATCCCATAAAAAATGGGAATAATAAATTTGATATATAAATAGGTCTCTCAATGCCATAGGCAATGAATAAGCAATACAGGTAAGTCCTCGAATTACGACCCACACGGTCTTTAGGGCCGTTGCAACTTTGAATGGTTACTAAATGAACTGTCGTAACTCAAGGACTTCCTGTAGAAGATCTGTGTCTTCTTCCGCCAACGGAAAAAAATAAATAATCGGTTTTGATTATTTATTTATTTATTTGGCATTTCCCCCCCCAAAGTCTCAACCTTGTCTTTTACAAATGGACGGTTGTAAGTCGAGAACCGGGTATGCTTTAAAAATAAAAACGGGGAGGAGATTCTGAAATGTCCCATTCCTTTCATCGCGTACCTTCCTGGACGGGTGGCAGGCAGGAACTGTCGATCTGAAGTTCGGTCATTGTGTTCTTTTCATAGGGCCCAAACTCCCAACAGCAATCTGGAAGAACAAGGCATCAAATTGCTAAGACGCTGGTGTGATGTTCAAGACAAGAGTATTTGAAAATGCAAGATAGATAGATAGATAGATAGATAGATAGATAGATAGATAGATAGATAGATAGATAGAT